GATCCCCTGCCGACGCACACCTGATATCTATGGTCAGCCTGCAAAATTTTGGCTACCGATATCCATGCTGAAAATTCCATACTTGTACCAAAAAAACAGTGTGGAATCAAGCTGTAAATAAAAAAGAATATGGAATGAGACCAATCGGATTAATTATGTGTCTTGTAGTAAGATGGGGCTGTGCTGCAACTGTGAATGGAGGTGATCCTTTCACCCGTCAGTCATCCGGTGTGGTCAAAAACAAGAGTTAACAATATTGGCGTGATACAAGGTAGTGTTCTTGGCCCTACCCTATTCATTGTATTCATAAATGATATTGTCTCTATGATCAAGTATGGCAAGCCATACCTCTTTGCAGATGACCTCAAAGTTGTCTATGATTTTGACTATAATGATATGAATATTGTTAGTAAAATCCAAGAAGACCTAAATAGTCTATGTAATTGGAGTGAAAAGTGGCAGTTAACGTTCAATCCAGCTAAATCTGGGATAACATACTTCGGACGTTGGAAACCTAGCATGTGTCTATACATGTACGGTGACCTTGTCTCAAACACAAACACAGTCACAGATCTCGGGATAACATACTCAGATCTTACCTTTACTGAACATGCAAATAAGGTGGTATCTGATTGTAAACGTCTAACCGGCTTTGTGCTACGCAACTTTTACACTCCAGAAGCCAGATTAGCCATATATAAGATATGCATTCGCCCCAAACTTGAATACTGTGCCCACTTATACAGTAGCTTTAAATCAGCAGACAGAAAAAAAGTTGAAAGTGTCCAAAGATTCCTTACGAAACGCATATTAGGCTATGGTCAGCAAATAGAATACCTTGACAGATGTATTCGACTGGACTTAGAGCCCTTATGGTTAAGGAGAGTGAAGTGCAATTTATTTCTCTTATTCAAAGTTATAAGAAAGCACTGTAACAGTAACTCGTCCATAACCTGGGCTAATCCTAAATCGTATGGACTACGCAACCACAACTACCTTCTCAAGGTTAACACCCATAAACTCACCACTAGAGCTAACTTCTTCACCATTAAATATTGCAAACTTTGGAACCAACTACCCTCTGAGATAAGATCCTGTGAAAGGCCTGACAGTTTCAAAAGGAGCCTAGAAAAACATATAAACATGTCCACCCTAGCCCGCCTCAAAGATCTCAACTGCTGGTAGAGTGGAGAGACAATGGCTTTTCAATATTTAACTACGGAAAGTACACTAGTTCCCATACTAACATAATAATACTTAGTAATTATGTAGGTTCAATACTTGAAATTCGATTGTCATTAAAATACTTAAAATGATTAAAATAGCTATGCGGCAAGTGTTCTCTTGCTTTACCGCTCTTATTTCCCTTATAACACTCAGTTATTGAGCCTAATGTATTCTTTGATAATACGAATTATGACACTGACTATGCTCTTATTATACATAGATTGATTTACTTTACGACTACCTGTAGTACTAACTACCCTTCTGTAGTATTGTTAACCAAATGCTGAAATTTTGTTGGTTCTGTTAATATCTTTTTATAATATATGTAGACAGGTTACTTTGCAATGTCAAATGTTGACTATATATAAGACTGTCATGATAATTTAGTACACTAAGTCCTGCCAACCGACCTTACCTTCAGTTCATACTACCTACATTGATCCCTAACTATATTGTTCTGCTGAATCTTGCTTCACTATTCACAAAACCTATTCTTTTTATTCTTTAAGGTTCTAACTTCTTGTAAAGTAATCTGTTCATTAGGACGCATGCATACATATATAATGTTCATAAAGATGTACGCGGAGACCTATTGGAAGCACTCATTAAGAAAGCTAGGGAGATGGAATATGAGGTACGAACATGTCTGGTACCAAGCAATATATTTGCGGTAGCCATAATAATCATAGTCTCAGAGCTTAACATCAAAAAAGGAGGGAGGGTGGCGTTAGCTGATCAGTAGATATGGTGGGGGTCACTAAGGTGAATCGCCCCATTCTGCAGGAACAGCAATATACAAATTAAAGGCTCGAGATATTTCTGATTTTTATGAGGGCTTAGATCTTTATCTTGAAAAAGATAATAATGAACGCCTTGACAGATCATGCTTCTACCTTTAAATATATACCATTCGCTCAGCCTATTGTTGAGATGCGACCACGTGGGATCTGCACAGATTTATGGGGCATCTTATAAACTAACTTGCTGTCCATTGTCTGATCTTTAAATACCACTTCACAATGTCTTATCTCATTCATTTTCCAATAACGTCTTTACTTGATCCTCATTATATCCCATTAAACCTAACATTTTACAGCTCTTTATGACTTATTATATTCCTACTCTCTGAAGGGTACGGTTGTACATTAAATGCACAAAAAGGTATAAAACAAAAACAACTGGCACAACTGAGGATAAATGTATTAAAACCAAAAGTGGACATCATGATAGTACGAGATATACGTGTAGCATTATACATTGCAAATGAACGTTGTCAGCCTAGGGAGTTTTCTTTTTTAATGCATTTATTAATGATACTTGCACTTACCTATTTCATTACAATTTAATGATTCACCTCAGCACTTTTACTTTTCTAAAACAGCTTTCAATCCCTTGTAAACGTTGTACTTACCTCAATATTGGTTGGTTATCGTATGCCGACAACCACGGGATGAAAACGAAACGAAGTCGATTTTCCCGCTCAACCTGGAGGACAATTGTACAATTCAATAACTATACAGCCTAGTTCAGACAATGTGTATTTATATATATATCAAATATTTAACTGTTGAAACATTATTAACTTGTAGACAATCTACGATTTGATATTATATCATACTTGATCGTGCCTGTAAAAATGGCATGCATTTTCATGTAAATTTATATGTTTATATGAAAATATACATTATTATTATTAATAACGTATGTAATTAGTGTAGGTTATGTAGATTTAGAAGAGAAAGAAAGGAAGAAAACGTAATTAACGGACAGCTAATGAAGTATGACACTGATATATATACATACATAATGATAATAATGTAAGAGACGCAATAGTTGAGGTAGTCTGGGGGGTGAGACAGTAGAGTGTGTGAAGAAGAAAAAGATGAGATCAGACGTATGCCCATTATCAGCAAGTGAGCTTTGAGGGGATAAGCCGTTTGGACACAGTCTTCGTGCCACCGCTTGAATGTCTAGTCACTGTTTAATGCTGTTCACAGACGGTGCAGTGGCCATATCCGCTGGTAAGGAGTTCCGGGGACAACAAATTCGAAGTGACAGCTGGAATGAAACCTGTCTCCAAGGTCTTCTGTCAGTTTTCTCAATACAGTATCCTAAAATATACGATGATAGTGTGGTACATGGCTTACAGACTAAATGGTGAACCTGACTGATTAAATTCAGCCAGAATTGAAACTAACAAGACACATCATAGTGGTTACCTCCTCCCGACCAATGAGTATAAATTTTAGTTCATAAAATACTCCAAATAACTGGTCCCTGAAAAATTCATCCTCTGGGTACAAACCTGTTCATAACGGAGTCTCACGCTAACTGATTGCTATTCCTACAATAAATGAAAGTTTCACCTGAAAATTAAAATCACTATGCTATCTTATGGGGCCATAGACAGGATTTGGGGAACTATTACTGATAGTGATAAGGGATTAAAGGATTTAGACACACTGTAAATGTGGTTGAAGACTGAACGATCAATTCATGGTTGTTTTCTGAAACTCAACTTCCCTATATTTTCGCCGAGGCATCAATCTACCAGTCATCGTCTCATCGGTCGCTGTTCAGAAATAAGATTAAATCTGTCAGAAGTAATATCGTGATTTATTATTGTAATATTTGTTCTCAGACCTTAGCCTGTAATGCCAGTATTGCTGGTTATATGTTGGCGCTGGAATAAAGAATTCTCGAGTCGCCAAACAGTGTTTTGGTTTTTGCGTCGGTTAATACTAAACGTTTCTGAAAATCTTCGAGGGACAGCGAGAGGCCCGGCGTAGCAAAAGCTGGGCATTATCGGTTTATGAGACTTGACTGATACCCACGTCATCGGAACATTGCTCGGAGCTTGAAGTTGAATTTCAGATCGTCACGGTTGTTCATCCTAGTTGAATGCATCAAAGAAGGTGTATCTGAATGACATCGTATTGCTCTACGTTAATGGAATAGATCTAGGGATTTGAATTCAGTTTAGGTTAAAAGGTCGTGCACATGGTTATGTAGCAATGGCAAAGCTCTCAAAATGCTAAATGGGGGTTTCAAGTGGTTTCTAAATGCCGTCACAAAAGGTGTATTGAGCCTAATAATTCATGCTTCAAGAAAGACTGATGGTTTCGGAATATTAGTAATGGAAGGCACTAACCTTGTTAAAGATATCTGAAACTCTGCCTAAGAAGTTCAAACCCCTTCTTATTGCCAAGGTATAAGGAAATGAGCAATCTTATTTATATCCTACCTATACTGAATGTTAGCAAGGATACTGACTTGTCCGAACCTTTCTAGGTATTCACGATACCTCTGAGCGATCATGAAAATCTCCTTAGACGCTGTCAGAGTAGACAAGAGTGGAATTTTTATTCTCAAATAGCTCCTGGTTCTTTTTGTAAGATCATAGGAATCAATATTTTGTATGAAACTTTACGGCAAATGGCTGAATCTCCAGTGAGATTCATTAAATAAAAATTATCAGAGGTTATCAACAATTTCTCCTCCATTTCAGAAACCTGAAAGGTGATCCCACTTGAAAAGGCTATTTTGACTTTAAAAATAGCATACATGTTGCTTGTAAGAGTCTATTTAGATGGATAAAAAACATTGAAACTATAGACACTATAACCTCGTGTGTTTGTTTTATCGCGTCTATTAGCTTCAAGCAGCTGTCTAAAAGCCTGAGTAGCGCAGGCTTAGAACGACTATCAAATTGAGACCAGAACCCCTGGTGGTTGTGTGTCGTAGTCTAAGTGTCCCGCATATGCCGTTTAGTTATGAAACATAAGTTACCGACCTGTGTTTCCCCATCATCCTCCAAGCTTCGCAGATTGGATGGTGGTTGTTCACAGGTCGAGAAGACGAACTCAGTTAACTCACTTCTCAATCTCAGTGCCAAAGTAGTTGCTGAATACCTGCCATTTGAATATGTGGAACGCATGTTAGTTCATGTTCCGGAACCTGTTCAAGAAAAGATTATTTACTTTTCTTTTCCACAACGAGACAGCGACATTTATACATATGCAAGTTTTCACACAAAATATGACAAAACCCGAGATAAGATTCCATATTACCAGGGCTTGGAATATTTTCAGAATAACTGCGTGGAGGATGTAATACAAATAGGTGAGTATTTTTTTAAAAGTTTACGACTTTTAGGCTTTCATTTAACTGGTTCTGTGCGCCAACAACCTGCCTCATGCGTTGCTGGGACACAAGGAAATAAGTTCAAAGTTTCTATCACTTTTGACAGGTAACTTCGATTTGTTTCATTTTCATGGCATCAGATGCAAAATCATATCCGTTTGCTGTGACTGTGGCAATAAAGGATTACCATGGTGTCCTCATGCTGTTGCTCTGGCTATATTTCGCATACGACAACCTCAGTCTGTGGATTATCGTTCACCTATTTCTGGTAAGTTTGTTAACGTTAATTTCAGAGACTATTACTATGATGCAATCTTTTTGATAAACACTCTCCGCATACAGATGAGATGATTGTGGGTGGTGTGGAGTATACTTGTAGGCACTGAGAATTGTGAACTGATGTCAGCTCATGATTAAATCCTCTATGCAATCAAACAAAAATCCCTACAAAAACCAATACTTGAAAATTGTGAAATAATCATTTATTTACATTTATGAACCAGATGTCTATATTCGCCTCAGGGAGGTAATCTTAACATGTGTTTTGTCAGTCCCAGATGATGTCTAGGAAGCAGAAAGAACGTTAGAGACCTACTTAACTTGAATGACTGGGTAGGTCTCAGTCTCGTACATGAAAAATCTGTTCCGGCCAATTGCGTACTGACACGAACTCTGTCGTGACATACGGACCTATGCATTTTTAAATTTTAAGAATTAAAATTTGAGTAACTGGATTTACTTCCTTGTGATTGTTTCATGCACTTTCATTGATATAATTGTCTATAGTTTGGTTTGTAAGGCTTAGTTAGGTTTTTATGAGTTGATCATGGTTTGCTATCACAGTTAGAAAACCAGCACTGGAGTACTGGACAGCTGTTTCATCCATCCTAGTTTGGGATTCATCGTCAGTTCGCACCCACCACAGGTGGTTCGAACCCAGAAACTTCCGGTTACAAGGAAAGCTAGCTGGCTGGTATACCATTCAGCCACTCACCGGGACCCGATTCAATGGCCAGCCAGTCCATGAATTCCAACTTCCACCAATTCGTGATTTAGGGCGATTGGCACGAACCAGTGTCGTGGGTAGGACATCCATCCTCATGCGTGACATCTGGATGGACCTCAGTGGTCACGACTTCTCACTAGAACTTACTGCAGGAAACTCCATCCTGTAGCTAGTGGTCACTAGCGAGCATCAGATTAATTTTTCCTATAGTTTTGTTTGTGAGGGTTAGTTATGTTTTTACGAGTTTATCACAGATTGACATCAGTTTGAGAAATATGAATTTCTTGTTTGTTTAATTAGTTTTCTCCTGGCAGCCATTAAGAAAAACTGCACACTATAGTAGACTATCCACATTTCCATTTACCTTTTTCCTAGAAAATTCAAATCCATGAATTGCGACCATGTCACCTTCACAATTAGCATAATGTGACAAGTTTTGCTCAATCCTTTTATGGTCACTGAATTATGCAGCACTGTGTGGTACTAGAAGTTTCCTCAGTTGGTCTAGATTCCTCGATGCAGTCTAAAACTTCCAAACACGAAGCCCACGCTACCAACTGAGTAAACATTTTCTTCTGCTCACTTACACGAGCATGAATATTAACAATGCCAAGCGGAGCAGTGTTCTTTTAAAGTGAATATAGAGTGAGAGTTGGCATTGCTTCACACGAAAAAAACAGCACATCCAAAGCTGTCTCAGTCTCTTCAAATATCTGCATTACATTCCTTGCAGGCAAAATTAGCTGACATGGGAGATAGAATAGGGAGAGTCAAATTGGAGCCTAACGTGTCAGTCCAAGCAGATGTGACATTTCATTTATTCCGTGTAATAATATTTGCACTGCCTTGTTGAGGTTTCTGGGATTCTAGGAACCGGTGGCTTGAAACTCTTCGTAATATAGTTCAAAATCGTTATCAAGGGTACGGAGGCATTCACTGCTGGCGTTCTTCTAAAACCAAAAAAAAATCATTATTCTCCCTGTAATTATTTTTCTTCCATACTTTTCCCTTTCCTCATAGTTGCTCTGAGTTTTTCCTTTACCTTTGTGACCTACTAGGGGTCTGACCACTTCTATGCTATTGAATTTCGTTGAAAACTTAGAAGTACGATATACTGTTGAATCACTAAACAACCTATTTTCTAGTAACATGATACCCGTAGGTACCAGTTCATATGCAGGGGAGCTTAAGTTAATTAGCCTTTACACATTGTGTGTTCGATCTCAGTCGAATACTAAGACGCCTCACCTATTTTTACTACAGTGCAAAATTAATCGTCAGGAATCCATGCGACTCAGATTTCAACTTTTTGCACACATAATACTCATTAATAAACTAATTTCTTTATTTTAAGAATTATTGAGCTTTGTCGATGTTCCATTTGTTCCATTTTCGCTCTCAACTGTTCTTTGTTGTACTTTCTTCTTGTATATGACCGAAAGCTGCTACCTTGACGTGGTGGTCGGGCTTGAACACCGCAATGACCTAATCAAGCTATACTGGCTGAGACTTATGTCTCTTGAGGTTCTACCATGCCAGGCAGGTTGTTTGGATAGCGGTTAAACAAAAAGCAGCTACCCCATCCAATACCATGATTCAAACAAATTCACAAAATTTCATGCCGGATCGGCCGTGGCCCGGATTAACAACGACCGCGCTTCCTGCTGCCGTGTCACAGGGCAGGAGTGATAAGTATGCTACTGAGGCACATCAAACAAAAGAGAAAAAACAAAAACAGGCCGCATGTGACCGGCCTCAAGCAGTTGTCCCCTGGGCTCTGCGGTCACGCAACCAACTTCCACGGTGTGGGCAGCCGGGAAGTAACAATCGCCCTCACAATCCGAAATGCACACGAGACAGATGTGATATTGAAAGTGACCCATCTAAAAGGAGAGTGGTGAGCGGATCGGACACATATTTGTAAACTTGATGACGGCAGACTAGTAGTAGTTGTTTTTTTGCTTGTTTCTTGTCCTAATTTTCGATAGTGGAAGAAATGGTCAAGAAGACTGACTACTTCATCTAACGGAGGACGGGTCGCATTAACAATAGTATATTAGTGACTCCTAAAATCTCTTTTCAAACGTACAGAAAATTTGACTCCTTTTAGCCCCCCCCCCCCCAAGGATTAACCATAACTGAACAAAGCAAGACATCCAAAAATGCTATGTCCTAATAGGTAATTACTGGGAATAGCTGCTCGAATTAAACTCTTTAAAAAGGTTTCAGTTATTTTCTGCTGTTTTCGACATAGAACTTTGCACCGATGTGCACCAGTTCAAGTCACCACACTCCCTCCATGTACCACACAAACCAACAGAAGAACGTAAAAAGAAATGCATACTAGGGGACAGTAAACACAGGTGTGAGACAAAGTAATAGTCATAACGAAGAACAATATAGTTTCATTGGGAATCATAAGTTACAAGGAGTGGATGCATCTTTGCCAGTCAGCCAGCCATTGAAAACGATCGCTTTGGGCCATATCACGAAGTGTTTCCAGTCTTTATTGGTTTTTACCGTCATCCCGAGGACCCCAACCAGTTAGGAAGCCAGTCTATACCTTCCTACGTAGCCGGCTGGCTGGCTAGCTTAGACTACTTGTTGTGGATTTCATTGATTGGTGAAGCCAAGTTTTGGTTTGACCGCCGATAGCTCTTTTCCAGCCTGACGAATCCTGTGTCAGCTAACATTTCCCATTGTCAAGGAGGTCGATAAAAAGCTAGATATGTGTAGCACATGTCCTAACCATCTCAATCGATGCAGCTTCATAGCCTCGTCGATTGATTTCCCCTCCTCCTTACCTAGCAGTCGACTGACGCCTAACCTCAATATTGCTCACCCTATTGTACCTTATCACATGGGAGATAGAACGCAGGCACCTAAGGTCGAAGACAGCTAATCTTTTCATGTCTTCCACTCTCAACGGCCAGGTCTCAACCAGCCATAAAGGAGGATGGAGCAAACTTTTATGTCAGTGTTCCTTGATTTGGATGACTTCGCTATGTATAAGGTAATAGGGGGTTAGTAAACAAGTTAGTTAGTTGACTTATAGGTGCAAACATTTTTTTAAGGCGTCTAAGATGTGCGTTATGTATATGCCATCACCGTCTACCCTTAATATGGTTGGAGGTAAGGTGCAGGTAGGTAGTCTGGCATAAAATCAATGATAAACTCTGGTTATTACTCCTAGAAAACCCCTAGGTTATGCTTGAATGACCATGTAGGGGTCAGCACTGACCCAGATGAATAGTAGTCTAAAATCTTTGTTTCATTTCCTCTTGAAGCCTGGTATTTAGATTTCGTTATTTTACTTCTATTCCACAAAATGCCCCCACTGCTTAATCTTCGCATGTTGAGCAAATAAGGCGACATATACATCCAGTTGTGTTTCGCGAGAAGTAAGTAAGGGAGTGTGGTGACTTGAACTGGTGCACATCGGTGCAAAGTTCTATGTCGAAAACAGACATACTTGAAAATGTAGTAAAATCTAGCAACTAATTGATGCGATATCAACTGCTATTGGATTATTAATATTATTGTATTACTGTTACCTTGGGTTCCTAGTGGAACATAGGGCTTCACTTGTGTTATGTTCTGCTGCTGAGTGGTTAACAGTAGTTGTCCCGTCGCCAAATTGTTATGTACTCGTCGCTAGATTATTGTTATGGACTGGTCGAGAATTTAATAGTCCTGACGCAAGAAGGCGGAAATCAGAAGACCACTAGGTTTGCGATGATACTTCTATTTCCAAACACGAGGAGAATGCAAAAGTGGTATCACACCAAAGTGGTAAGTGAGTGTAAGTCCACAAGATTGTGAATGCAAATATATATATATATGAATGTTCAGACAAAGGTGTGAACAATCATTGGACAGTCTTAACATGAATGGCTAATTATAATGAAGTATCGGTCCATATATACATAGCGAAATATAGCAAACATGTCAACAATCACCATATATGGATATATGTCACCAAGCAACGGACTGTCAACAAACACTCGTATTATATATAATATAAGGGGAATATACATTGTTAAAGGAGACAGGTTCATACAAGTGAAATGGTCACAGACTAAGCGAGCAAACAGAAAGAAAGACCAACATACACACACACAAATATATATATATATATATATATATATATATGTGGATACATATCAAATTGCACGTCTCCACTTGCTTCTGTCTTCTGCTTTACTTACTTTTCACCTGCATCCATGTTAGTCCTTACTCCTCTTTCAACTCTTCACACGATCTCCTCCATGTCACCCTTGCACTGACAACCCACTTGCCGCTTTCTTTTCGGGTTCCACTCTAGCAATGGCCTGACGCTCGCGCGATGTCACCCAGCGGCGGCCTCCTCAGCGAAGGTCCAATCCATCTCCATCACTTTCTCCTGCATACTTGTTGTTGTTGGGCGATTGGTTCTTGCTTTTTTGTTTGTTCCCATAGTTTCTTGTTGTTGGTGATTCTTTCCGGTTGGCCCGGCCCGGCCATCTGATCTTCAGTATAGAGCGAGGAGAGTTAGTTATTGATAAAGGTAACGTCTGCAACAGACTGTTTATTTGGAAATATTCTTTGTGACCCACCCACCAAGTTTCTAATCCGTATAGAAGAACTGACTGACTTGACGTTGTTTGTATTGAAAATCCGACCGAATTTTGTTGTTGATGTGACGTTGAGTGACGAAGATTTCCGGATTGGTTTCAGGTTGATGAGTGAATGCGTTTCTCGCCTTCCCGATTCTCGCTCGATTTGACGTCGTCGTCCGTTCTGACTTCCTGTGGTTGAGACAATGTTCCCTCCCTAAATAAGTGAATGATGAAGTAAGCTCTTTCAAATCCCTTCCGTTGATGGTGATTGGCGCTGGATGTTGCTGTTGTTGTTGTTGTTGTTGGTTGGTTGGTTGGTTATTTGCACAATCTCCCTCTTGTCTATGTTCATTAGGAGTCCTGTGTTCACTGTCTGCTTCTTCGACCAGTTTGTCGGTTTTCGCTTCTAAGTCTTCGATTTTGTGTGACATCGAACATAAATCATCGCCGCGCTAAATCCACGGGTCTTCTAGGTTTTTCACCTCGGTACCAGTCCAGGATATCCCAGTCTTCTCGTTTCCCTGTCACTGTCTGACGCATAATCCAGTTCACCACAATTGGGAATATCATTCATTGGTTATAATGAGCACCCTTGATATAAGGATCGAAATGTAGTTAAAACTGCAGCTGAGATTCCCCTTTTTCGCATTTGATATCTACCTTGCTCACAGTAGTAATCAAATATATATATATACGTATACATATCACATGGTGTATGCCCACATTTTATTTATCTACCTCATGACATTGATGTTTTTAAAGAAATTATTAATTAATCTTTCTATAACTAATCTATTCACCATAATGATATAATAATTTTTCCTCAAAAAACAAAAAAGAAGAAAGACTAACAAACACAGCGATATATGTCTTAAGGGAATTTTTAATCACTTTAAACGATGTTATTTGCGCGCGCGCGCCCTATCTCTCTCTCTCCCTCTGCCACACACACACAAACACCACAACAGCAGGTTTTTCAGTTATACATTTTTGTTTGCCTATTTCTACACGTGTAGTATTTTTCACATGCACGCTGATGTGATGTACATGTGTTTGTTTTCTTGTGGTCGATAAGTGGAAAACAATTAGAAGCCATTGTTTGTTTGTTGGTGTATTTTATTGTTTGATATATCTGTTTTCTCGAAATTTTATTTGAGAAATTAAGCAACTTTCAGGCACATACACACGTGTGAATTATTTTACCGAAAAAGGTCTTCTTTTCTGCTGTTGTTATTTTTTTTTCACACGATTTTTCTGGTGATTTATATTACTTCACTTGCTGGACCCATAATATTATAATAATAAATATCAATTACTTAGTGTGCGTCGGTGGCATAGTGGTTAGGACGCTTGCCGACCGTGCACACGGTCCGGACAGAGTTCGATCCCCAGCCGCTAACGCACTCCTTTACCTCTCTAAGCCAGCAATAAAAAAGCTGGTAAAGAGGAAAGGTTGGGCCAGATGAGGCAGGCTAGCAACCCCATCCTGTAAAAATAGACACCACTGCTACAGAAACTTCACGCCTCTAGCTTGAAGTTACCCTATGTTCCACCGGGAACTTGAGGGAATAAAAACTATAAAAAAACTATTACTTAGTCGATAGCCTAGTGTTTTTTCCAATTTAATATCATAGGCATAGATTAATAGACTTTGATTAATTAGTAATGATCGCTGTATATATCTGTATCTGTAGAGTAGATTGCTTGTGTTGACCGATAGAATATGTACTGTGTTCTATTTTGATGTGACACTAGTCAGTAACTAGTGTGATATGTCTAATCTTATTTTGCTTTGGTGCAGACTGAATTGCCTGTCTGTCTGTCTGGATTCAACATAGAACTTGGCACCGAAGTGCAGCAGTTCGAGTTGCCACGTTCCAAATAGCACACAGAGGTAGACAAGAAGATGAGTGAAGAGAATTAATAGAGTTTGACAAATATAAGAGTGAAACAGAATGGGTAATGGTAGAAAGGAATATGAAAGATTACAGAGACTGAATACATCTGCGCCATTGACAACGATTTTGAGCCATGTCACCTATTGTCTCCAGCCATTGATTCCTAGAGTCCCGAGGGCCCCAACCCGGGAGTCTGCATCTCCCTACCTGACTCAGTTTAACTGTCAAGGATTTCATGGATTGATGCCATGTTTTTGTTTGGCCACCACTGGCTCTTTTCCAACCTGAACCTATATCAGCTAGCAATGCCCGTCGGGGGAGGCGGTGGTTAGGCATGCGCAGCACGTGACCTAGCCATCTTAGTCTATGTAACTTTATAGCCTCGTCGATTGATTTTCCCTCTTTGCCCAACACTCTACGCCTAACGTCAACATTACTTATCTTGTGAAACCACCTAACGTGAGACAGAGATCGCAGACATCTATGATCGAAAGCAGTCAACCTTTTCATGTCTTCAACGCGTATTGGCCATGTTTCAGAGCCATAGAGAAGGACGGAGCGAACTGATGAGCAGTACACACGTCCCTTGGTTGATAACCGGATGTCACGCCTACGCCAGAGATGGTGTAAGTCAGCGAAAGCAGCTCGAGCTTTTCGGATCCGTGCTGAGATTTCATCGCCAATCAGTCCGTTGGTGCTAATACAACTTCCCAAGTAGGTGAAGTGGTCAACATGTTCTATCACTTCACTCCCTATCACTAAGTTAGGGGTTGACGTGGTCCAGTCCTGTAGCAGCATCTTACATTTTGCAGGGGCGAATCGCATGCCAAACATACGAAGATTGCTGCTCAAGGTGTTCAGAAGACTCTGCATTTTGTCAGCATCCTCCCCTAACAGGACTATGTCATCTGCATATTCTAAGTCCATTAGATTATTCCCTGGTAACAAGTCGATTCCTAAGTCACTACGTTCAGTTAAGGATACTTCCATTAGCATATCTATGATGAAGTTAAACAGAAATGGGGAAAGTGGACATCCCTGTCGGACACCACTGGTTGTTACTAATTCAGATGACAATTCCCCATAAGCCCTTACACGACTACGTGAGTTTGAATAGAGTGCCTTGATTAGTGCAATGTACTTTCTTGGCACTCCCTTCACAGTCAGACATTGCCATAGTACCTTTCGATCCACGGAGTCGAAGGCCGCCTTCAAGTCAAGAAATATGACAATTGTTGGACGCCGAAAAGTGTGTCTATGTTCTAGAATCTGTCGAAGAGTGAAGATATGATCTATGCACCCTCTACCTGGTCTAAAGCCTGCTTGATTTTCCCTTGTCTGTTCCTCCCGAGTTCTGCTTAGTCTATGCATGATTACTGAGCCTAGGATTTTAGAGACTATGTTCGTTAGGCTGATCCCCCTATGATTATCACACGAGGACTTGTTTCCCTTCTTGAATATCGGTATAATAAGTGACTTACCCCAGTCTGATGGAACTGTCTCTGATTCCCAGACTTTGCCTAGTACCTCAGTTAATCTACAAACTAGTATGTCACCCCCATATTTAAACACCTCCGGAATAATTCCGTCGGGTCCTGCCGCTTTGCCTGAATTGTATCAGTTAGTCAGTCAGGTAGGTTTGCAATGTGACCACCATGCCACTAGGTGGCTAGCTGACTATCACAGTGCACACATAGATTTGATGATATTAGATAGTTGTTGGAGGCAATCGACCTGAGGAAGCTTTGCCCGGACCTAGGTTTCGTGCTAGTAGGCACTCCTACTGATTGCCTCCAACCATCTAATATCATCATGTATTGTGTTTGAATAATGCCTTTGTTGTTTATACCAAAGTTATTAGCGGTGGTGGTGGGGGGTGACGGGGACGGAATCCAACTGTCGGATTAAAATTAATTGCCAAGCGTACAAATGTCCTAACTATTTGGTGCGTGATAGTGCTTTGATAACTACATTATGGATAAGATTTTATTTCGATAAAGTGTCACATAGTGTTGTACAGTAATATTAACTGTGGAAAGTTCTTTGTTGAAAACAGACTGAATTAATGTGGGTATGTAAGTGTAGAACCTAATAAAGAAGTTATCGAAAAGAATATTCCTTGTTCAGCCATTGGTGCCAATAGTGGTTGAGTTTTCAAGTGGTAAGACTTAAAGGACCGTTTCCTGAGTCCCTTGGTTGAGCTTCGATCATAAGACGACCACACCACCCAGTGAGTTATCGTGTGATAATTTACTCAAGGGATGGGATGGTTTACGGTTGCCCATACCGAAGCCGTCGGTTGTTTTCTCACTTTGCCTAAATTTGAACGGAAAACTGCCTACGTTTTTACCCATATGATATGTACATAATACCATATATCCCAGGTTCAAAAATTTTTTTAACCAACTGGGAATTCTATTGTGGTGGTAAGTCAGTGTGTTATATATATCTGCATTTCCAGAAAACAAAAAAATAATTTTCTCTTGGGTCACTCACTGTCACACTTTTTTTTCTCAAGCTGTTGTGAACCATTCCAATTGTTTTATTCATCTGATACACGCATATTTTGTATGTCTCTAGTATTGTATTTTCTCCATCTATTCGAATTATTATTAAAACTTAGATCTTTAAAGTAAGGCTACCTAGCTAGCTAGCTAGCTAACTAACTAGCTACACTGTGTGCGTTATACTCTCTAGTTCAGTGTAGTCTAGTTGTTTCGTTTTTACTTGCCAATAATAATAATAATAATCCATGGCGATATGTGTTGTTAAACAACACATAATCACACTTCTTAATTCCTAAATCCATGTGTGTTCTCTGTCCCCTTTATATAACATAATAATAATATAATATAATATTATGGTAAAGAAAACAAAATCACTCACTGTTGCATTTATTATGTACATGGAGTAGTGTTTTTGTTTCTACCAGTCTGTTGGCTGGCTGGCTTGTTTATTATGAAAGCCAGAAAAGTAAAAGTGGTATCCATAACATGGTAACACTTTCACTGTGGTGCTCTTTTTTTTAATGCGCTTTGCTTACTTACCATACTGGTGTACAAGTAAAATGTTGATATTAAATTATTTTTTTCATTGTTGTTGTAAGTAAATAGTTTAATCACTGTAAGAGAGTAACATTGTCATTAATTCTCTATCTCTCCCTCCCTCAACCCTTGCACACACACACACTACACCTAAATTCACTTTATAGCTCTCTATATGGGTATAAAATACAAATAGAGGTTTTAAAATTTTATTACTATTCTTAAAAATTAGTTAGTTTGGTCTGACACAAATATATGTGTATACATAGATTTATGTTTATGCATAAGTTAAAACCCTCAAAGAACCTGATCAATACTCACCTATTGGACAGTCAGTCAGTCTTTCAATTATTATTATTCCAATTCCAATTTACATGTTTTTACTTTCACTTTCATTCACTAAGTTCGTTTAACGAGTGAATGTTTCGCGTGTTGCAGGTTTTTCTCTCTCCTTGTCATTTATTTGTCAACATATATATATATATATATATATATATATATATATATATATATATATATATATATATATATATATATAGTGCATGGAGGATTTCATCATGAGCTGACATCAGTTAGAGAACCACTGGAAAACCAGCACTGGGAGTACTGGACAGCCAGGTGTTTCTTCCATCCTAGTTTCGGACCAGCTGTTCAGCAGTACGCGCCACCCGACTGAGTTCCGAACCCAGGACCTTCTGGTTACTAGGCCAGCGAGCTAGCTCGTTGACCATTGTGCCACTGGGACCCGATCCAGTGGTCCTTAACATAGCGCGGCGGCTTTGCAATGTCCTCTTCGATGAGTGGGTTACTGACTCATCTTCAACCTGCTGTACCCTACTGGTTACGGCTTCCCACTAGAACCCACCCAGGTTAACTGTCTACCTGAATAGGGCCAGTCGCTAGCGGGCATCAGATTAATTAATTTTCAAGTATTGGTTTTGTAGGGATTTTTAGTTTGATTGGATGGAGGCTTTCATCATGAGCTGATATCAGTTGGAGAACCACTGGAAAACACATACGGGTGTGTTATTTCGTTTTGTTCGATATTGTTGCGAATTGTGATGCTTTGTTCACTCACTACACTAACAAGAATTTCTCTCACTACTTATATGATGACTTATGACAGACATACTTTGTGAAAGGCATTCATTATTAGCTGCAAGTTTCCTTGTTGTTCCCTTGATCAGTCAATTGTGTGTGTGCTAGACACCATGTATATATAATATATGTGGTTCGTGGTAGTGCCCTTTATACCAATACCATGTTGGTATTGAGACCTCAGGATCACTAGTGAAATCGATATACAATAGTCTAACCATGTGTATCTACCAATTTAACTGCTCCTGTGGAATGAGCAATTAAGCGTGTTTCCCGTCGAATCTCCGAACATCACCTCACCATGCACAGTGGTTCGTTGGTTAAGTCGGGGACAAACAAAATCTATTCACATAGCTCTATTTTATCTATCTCACTCATCTTGTGGATAAAACAGAACACAAGACTGATTGATGTTAACAAGGCGGCGGCTTTCAGGCTCATTTACCTACCGCATACCAACCAACAAATCTCAATTTCGCCTTAAGGGCAGTTCGACTACCAAATATTCCAGAGGTTGGCTGGCTGACTGGCCGTGTCGGGATCCATAATAACAAGCCTAATTTGTGCATCCAAAACAAGTTGGTTGGTTCAGACATGAATTATCCTTACCCGCTTGGTCATCCATACAGGTTTGAATGATCTTGAAGTGAATTTTTGTGGAATTTTCCTAATTTTGAGTTAATATTCTACTATATCTTTATTTTTATTATTAAGATTATTATTATTTAGGCATCTTTAATGAACTACGGTGGTGATTCCATTGTGATCTTACTTTACAAATCGATGTTATAATTTAAAAAGCACACTAATATTGTTATTGACTACTACTAATCTAGAATATTCTATGTATACATATGCATATATAGATATAATTGTAGAGCAAGAAGAGGAGGAGGAATTTATCGAAAAGGGGATATTCTTTGGCCTGGCTCAATTATTTTAATGTTTTATAAATGTCTGAATGAATATTTTTGCTATAATTTTTTATGTATTGTGGCGCTTATCTTCATTCTTGTTCATTGTTTGTCATGATAAAACTATCTCCAACAACTAACTGCCAGTGAAATTGGGGTTACTTTTTTGCGCTATATTATAAAGGGGGAGGGGGAAGGAATAAAGTGAAATGACCGCCTCATTTTATGTGTTTAGTGTGTTGTGAAAAGTGCATTTTTAGTGAGTGTCAATATATCAAAGACAGGCGCAAAATCTGTGTGTAGCTTTGTCATCCATGAAAGCTGATGATGCATTAAAGATTTTAATTCTCTTCCTCTTCATTTAACTCGGGTGTATCAATATTCAAACCAAAAAAAAACCAATAAAAAATAAAATAGACAATGTGTAATTGTTTCGCAGTTACCCCATTAGTTGGTTGAAGATATATATATATATATATATATATATATATATATATATATATATATATAATGATTAAACGCAGTAATCCATTTTAAGTTAGTTCTTTAACAACTCGTCACATTATATAGCGTAGTAATATTGACGCAATAGAAAAATTCGCACAAGGGGGAAGTGTTCATGTTCTCCTTTGGAATAATAATATTAATAGTGTTTTTATTTATGCATTTATGTTTTTTATGAGTTGATCACTCACGGATTGATATCAATGAGTTAGAGAAGCATTGAAAACCAGCCACAAGGAGTACTGGTTTGGGAATCATCGCCAGTATACACCCA